CTAAAGATTGAGGGCCTTGGAAGCCCTGTACTGTAGGGTAACTATGACTTAGAATCGACTGAGTGGCAGCAGGCTTTGTTTTTGGGGGGCGAACAGGGTTGTGAGGTACACTGGAGCTGTGTGACCAACAGGTTTGCTGTTTTTAAGTGCTGTTAAGTCGATTCTAATCCATAGCAATCCACAAGGCTTCCGAGGAGCAACTGGTAGTTTGAATCACCGACCGTGTGGTCAAGTGCTTATCCTACCGAGCCACCTCGGTCTGACTAACACACACTGTTCCAAATGTCCTCTCCTCCCAAACTGTCACATACGGGAAATCAGGTTACATGTGGCAAAGCAGCTTTAAGACTTCAGAACTGACATAGAAGGATTCAAACTAGATAGCATTACTAAACAAAAGGTATCAAAAGGCCTTGTGTATTTTTGTGCATTTTCTTTTTTTTTATACAGAACACTGCAGTTTACCAGGACTTCCACATTTAAAAAAAACAGCAGGAGACCACATTAAAGGAATTACTTGACTTTCTAGCTGCCAAGCACCACACACAGATTCCATTGTTGCCACTTACACCGTAACATAGAAAAACTCCATTTCCAGTATGTCCATATCCCTCTTTGCCAAATCCCAGGAAAAGACAGACTCTTAGGGGTAAACACTCCCGGCCTCTACCTTTGTGGCTATTGTGTGTGTAAAGTCTATCCCACCGCACAGGGGCCTCCGGGACAGAGCAGCAGTGCCCGCGTAGTAGACTGAATTGACATCTTGACAGGAGCAACTCTACCAGACCTTGTCTCGCTCAAAGCTGCTACGGGGTTCAAACTGCCAACCTTGCACTTCACAGCTTAGCTTACCCAATGTGCCACCAAGATTCCTAACCTTCACCTCACCCTACCCTTTCAGTTCTGACTTTGTTGGAATTTTACCATCAGGGGGCAGAAAACTCTGGCCAGGATTTTGATTGTAGTAAGCCAAATGCAACTGTAAAATGAAAGATGTTCAGGAAACTACAGCAAAGAAAATCCGGAGCCATGTTCCAAAGCAAATGGAAAGTAGTCTGATAGGCCAGCAGGGATTAACTGCCCACAGCCAGTCACTTAACCCCTCTCCTCCAAAACAGCTTTTGCAATTGGGTTTGGGAAGCGCACTGAAAGAACGAGCAAGTTCAAACCAAAGCCACAAATGGAGCATCTAGATCTCTGCCCTTCAAACAGCCACTGGCCACTGTGGTTCCTGAGCCCTGGAGGGGCAGCAAGTCAGACCTGAGAGAACTTATAAGTGTAAACACATACCAGGTACTTACCAGATCTTGAAAACATAAATCTTGAACATTAATATCAAATTATGAATACAAAATAATTCAATAATTTTTATCTAAAAATCCTATTTAAATGTTATTTTGGATACACTGGATAAAACGAAATATACCAAATTGATTAGAAATTAATCTTAAATGTTCCTGCTAACTGAAAGGTTTTAAATCTACCCAGAGGTGCAGTGGGAGAAAAGTTCGGTGCTCTCAGCCAGTGAAAACCTGAAGGGAGCACAGCTCTACTCTGACACACCTGGGTCTCCATGAGTTAGAACCGACTCAACGGTAACAGGCCTGTGTGGTTCATCCTGTATTTCTACTGGACAGTAACTTTCTTTCTGTCCAACTAAATCTCTCAGTGAAGTACCAACACAATCACCCTAAGACCATCAATTCAGGACCGCCTCAATGGCCTACTAAATCAATGCTTACCTTTACCACTGGGATGTATCCAACAAGTAGCTTTGCAAATAAGCTACTACAGGGAGTCAACACTACTGGCAGTAAGTGGATTCCAACTCACAGTGACCCTACCTCGGGTTTGTGGCACTCTCAAGGTTTAGGGGAGCAGCCTGCTGTATTTTTTTTTTTTTCCCCACACAGTGGTTGGGGGTTTGAAGAGCTGACCTTGTGGTTAGTAGTCACAACTGACCCACAGTGCCACCAAGGCTTCTAAATACCAGGTGTCATTTTAAAATAACTGTTCTCCAACTTTGTGTGCACCAGAATCAATCTGGGGAGTTCTATTTTAAAAAATCATACATGTCCATCTTCTCCCTCCCTCCAATGGTCCCGCGGGGCAACTCTAGCATCTGGAGATTTAACACTTCCACTGGTGAGTCTCATGGAGAGTGAGGGCTGCAAACCAGTTTGGGTCACATTTGTACATACCTATGTTCAGCTTCACATATCTGAGGGGCAGTGGTGTCATCTACTGTAAGAGAGGTTTCATTCCCAGCCAGTGGACCTCACACACAGCATCACACGTTAGTCATGCGTGGTCTACGTGTTGCTGTGATGCTAACCAGATTTCAGCAGAGCTTTCAGATCCCAACGGACCAGAAAAGCCTGCCTGGCGATCTACTTCCAGACGTTAGTCCATAAAAACCCTGTGGATCACAATGGCCCAATCTGCAACTGGTCATGGGAATGACGGAGGACCAGGCATTGTTTAGTTGTTTTGTGCATGGTTCACCCTGAAAGAGGACCTACTGAATGACAGGTGACAGCAATTCTGAAGACAGTGCTAAACCAGCCACAGCTGCTGAGCTCTTCAGCAACACACAGCACAACAGCTCCTGCTACTGCCAATACTTAACACGTAGGCAAGTTGTGACAACCACACTTACAACTGTTTGCTCTTAGTTACACCTTATTCATAACATGTACTACAATGTAACAGCATGTAATTTGCTGATGCTATCATTCTCAGATGTTCAAAGATGAGATTTATAAAAATACAAAGGTACTGATAATAAAAATGTACTTTATAAAAAACAAGTAATGAAAACAGTAATAAAAAAAAGAAGTATCCAGCACAAGTCACTTATGACAGTCATCGGAACAGAGCCCCACTGTACATTAGGGACTGCCTGTACTGATACAATCCTAGCCCAGGTAAGCTGAAGCTACCACACTCAAGTACTTATCCAAAGCTATCTCCTGTGTTCCATGTACTTAAGTTTCCCTGTGCACAAGCGCAGTACCTACTATTTCCCTTGCCTTCAATTCTCACAAAAAATACTGAAACCTTTAGACAGGCAATATGGCTTCACGGTTGCAAACTGGACTCTAGAATCAGACTGTTGCTGTTGATAAGAGCCACTGAGTCCATTCCGACTAGTACCCAGTTATTACTTACAAAATATAGGCAATCAGTTCACAAACCTAAGGTTACTATTTTCTCATCCGTAAAGCAAAGAGAAAACACATGTGGTGGTGGTAATGGTTAAGTACCGTAGAGTCGGTTCCGACTCATAGCGACCCTACACAGTGTTTCCAAGGTTGTAAATATTTACGGGAGCAGAAAGCCTCGTCTTTCCCCCACGGAGCAGCTGGTAGTTTCGAACTGCTGACCATGAGATTAGCAGCCCGATTCTGCAATGTACTTACACTATTTGGCATAGTGTATAGATAGGCCGTTTTTTGTTTTGTTTTTTTTGACACTTGCTTCCTGCCTCTTCTATTGACTCAACTGTGGTAGTTTCAGATTATCTATAATATTATTTTTTTATTAGCTAAAAAAAAAAACTTTTTAAAACATGAATGCTGCTTAGCAGTAATAGAAAACTCACATTCAGGGGAAAGGTGCACAGCCGAATTACTGTGAGTGCTGTCAGTAAGTTCCACAAAGTTGTACTCTTGGCAAGTGACGGCAATGACCAAGAGGAACACGAACCAGAGCAGCTGCTGAAGCCGCTTATGAATAAATGCAATACCTCATGGATTTCCTTTCTTGGTTTCGAGGTTTGTCGTCGTCGTTGTTGTTAGCTGCTGGCAAGTCAGCTCCAACTCACAGCTACACAACCCGGCCTGAGTCAACTACACAATTATTGTTACCCTGGAGCCCATTCCTCCTGCCACTGTGCCAATCCTTTTGGTTGGGGCTCTTTCTCTTTTTTGCTGACCCTCTGATTTACCAAGCCTGCTGTCCTTCTCCAGAAGCTGGTCCCTCCTGATAACATGCCTGAAGTAGGAGAGACAAAGTCTTGCCAACCTAGCTTCTAAGGCACATTCTGGCTGTACTTCTTCCAACTCAGACCGGTTTGCTCTTCTGACAGTTCATGACACTTTCAATATTCTTCTCCAATACCCTAACTCAAATGCATCAATTCTTCTGCAAGTCTTAATTATTCACTATCCAAATTTCACATGCATTCTGAGGCTTAGGTCTAGGTTGTATGGGACATCCCAATGAATTAACCAACATATTTAGGACTTCTGTTGTACCTCCTAGCTCACTGTTTAGTGCCTGGCATCTTAAAAGCATGCAAGTGGCCATCCAAGGCACAGTAATTGGTCTCTATTCACCTGGAGCAACAAAGGAAGGAGCACAGTCGCGAACAGAAGGCTATGGAACGTGTGACTAACTGCCTCCCTGAACTAACTGCCTCTTTTGCCATGAGACCAGAAGAACTGGATGGTGCCTGGCTAACATTACTGAACATTTTGACCAAGGATTCCACAGAAGAATCCGGATGAAAAGGGGGGAAATGCAGAACAAAATTTGAATTTTTCATGGACTCTAGACTTTCTAAAGTCATAAGAAGTGAGTGAGCCCCTGAAACTTTTGCCCTGAGAAAATATTTAAACCTTAAGCCAAAATATTCCCTGAAGTTATCTAACAATTGAACAATAGTTTAACTTGAGTAGAAAAAGATCTGCTTTTTACATGGTAGCATCAAATTGACAAAAGCAACCGTAAACATTTGAAAGGAACCTCAGCGAGGAAAGAGTTGATGTTCATGAGGGAAAAACATATAAGAAAAGGAGCAGGCAAATGGCGGCACAACTGAAAGAATGTAATCAATGTCACTAAATTATAATGTAGAAACTATTATGCTTTGCTCTGTATATTTGCAACAAAATTTTCAAGGAAAAAAAGTTGTTGACTAAAATAATGTTAACCCCCTTGCATCTTCATTTACACACGATTCCAATTTGGGGGGGGGGGGCACTCCAATCTCTCACCTGTCAGATTCCTCAACCCTTCTGTGAAGAGTGACTGGAATTCTGGAGACTGTAACTTCATTGTAAATAGATGCTGTTTCAGCAGGCACAGTCTATTCCAACTACAGCTCAGTAAAGGCTTAGGCCAGGGCTGCAGGTACTTGAGCATCTGGAGGGACAGTCACCAAGCAGACGTCTACAAGGCAAATGAGCATGCACAAAAATGACATTTAAAATCAAGGAACGGTACAGATTTCAACTGGACTCATTTACTGACTGAAATACATCTCCTGCTCAAAGGGAAAATGAAAACAGTGACATTGTTTCAATTAGATCTCTGCTCCTAGCCATCCAGTTCAGTCCTCCTGGAACACTGGGAACTCTACTCCCACATGGTACTACTGTTGTAACAACTTCCTGGGAGTCCAGTTTCAGTTAAAGTGTGAGGGGTACCAAGCTCCCCCAAACAGTGGTTTCAGAATATGTAACTGGAAGACATTACGTGAACACTTGGTATCCCTTCAGCTTAAATCTTAGTCACACCTTTACTTCCCCTGAAATTTAAGGTTCAAGCGACCTTCTAAAGTATTTCTTAGGAATTGTAACACAAAGGAGCGCTGCAGGATAAGTACGGGTCTGCGAACCACAAGGTCGGTGGTTCAAACCCACCTTGAGAACAGCAGCAGAAAGATGAGGCTGTCTGTTCTCGCATAGATTTAGTCTCAGCTCCCTACGAGTCATTACGGTTTTAGCTTCACAATCTACATTTCCCTCGATCATCCATTCACCATAGACCCACATAGTGCCTTCTCTTTTATCCCCACGCACACCCTGCCTTTCTTTCTCCAGCACTACAGGCTAGTTCTCCCCTCAGGGCTGGCATCCGACAAGCCGCAGCTCTCCAGTGACCCCCCAAAGGGCCCCAGCAGAGCAGAGCCAAGCCACCGCTTGGCAAGCATGCTGAATGAGCGAGTTTTCCCACGAGGAGACGCGTTCCCGTAACCCAAAACACCTGGGAAGAAAAGTGGACTCCCATTTCATTTCAGCTGTCTCAACTCAGAAAACCCCACTGGGGCTCCAGCCCTGAAATAGGTGTCCACCCTCCCACCACCACCACCAGGTGCTGGGCCGAAAGGTTTAACTGCATGCGGCCCAAAGCTCCAAGTTGGGCATCTTTCGCCGCTTCCGGTGAATGTGTTTCGTAACAGTCCGCTCCCGCCCTCCCGAAAGACCCCCGGAAAGGATCTCGCAAGGAGCTCTGCCCTCAAATCGCTACTAATGCCACCCCCTCCCCGCAGCGCCACGGTCGCACAAGCACACGGGACCCACTTACCGACCCCGAGGACGCCGACCAGGCGCGCACTTCCGGGAAAGCGAGCGAGATGACGTCTCAATGAACGTCTGTCGACTGCGAATAGGAAGCCACGGCCCGGCGGTGGGCAGGGGCTGCGTGCTCTCCCTGTCCCCCATCCGCCCACGCAGAGCTTTCTGGGAAAGCCGGCCTGGCTCATTGGCGGCCAGCACTGGCTAGGCGGGCGGCTGGGGGCACTCGCTAAAACCGAACCCTTAGACATCTTCGTGACATCTCACTACACCGCATTTCCCGCGGTGATCAGATGTCCTTCTGTACTGAATACCAGTGTGACTGAATACCAAGTGACTGACGCTGCCTCATTTGTAAAATGTGGCAATTAAAACTTATATCCGAGTTGTAAACCAGTTTCATTACTACCAACCACGGAAAATTGCTCATCAAAAAGGAATTAGTTAATGAGGGGACTGTAACCATGACAATGAAACGATATACGATAGGATGAATGTAAACTAATGTTCTCCCACTTAAACTATCACATAATTCACTAT